AGAAGAGAAAAGAAAAGAAAAGAAGAGAAGAGCTAGCGTGAAGTGAAATGATTGATTGAGGCAGAGTACAAAGACAAGGTCTAAATCATTAGTGAAAGCATTAATGTCGGCTGGTGCTTCTCTGTCATATAAATCACTTTTTAACTCACTGCTTTACTTCGTGCTTATTGTTTAAGCCATGCAGCCGTGAAAACGGTGATGTGACTGTCTGCCTTTTACACGCTATAAGGGTTTATTTTAGAGCCAGAATCCACTCCCAGCATCTGCTTCTGCTCTTTATGCAGGTTTATGGAAGCGTCATGCTGCATGTCATTTCAATATTAGCAGATAGCATCTTAACAGGGTGTGGTCCCGCTGAATAAGAGGAGGCTGACTTAGAAAAGGAATTTAAGTGATGTATAGGCACGAATCATGAATAAGAGAGAGCAGATGCATTTAAAGCATTTAAAGGAAGTGTATGTTTTCTGATATGCGATGCTCAATAATGGTTTGGTTTAGGAGGGACAAAAAGAGGAGAAATTAGCTGGAAACAGAGACAGGAGACAGGAGAAGATGAACCCTAAAGGAGAGAAGAGGACACGTAAATGAAGGAGGATAAAAGATGATAGATGGGGTCTACTGAACGGCAGTGTGAGGGTGGGAGGGGCAAGGAAGGGTGAGATGAATAGTGCGAAGGGAATGGGAAAAGGGCCAGACGGGAAGAGGAGAGGAGGGAGCTGTCAGGATGATTTGAGTTTGCCCCCAATGGACCCTGACGCTGCACTTTTCAGTGTGTGTGTGTGTGTGTCTGTTCATTCCAAAATAGAGATCTTGCTTTCAGAGACAGAGCAGTGCAGTGAGCTTACAGGAAGCTCTGAAGCAGTGAACCAGCTGTTGTCTCATACGGTAAACTTCAGGAAGCATCTCTTTGAAACTCTACCTGACGATCCCAGAAGTTCAATCCAGAGAAGCGTTTTACCTGGATTTCACAAATACTGTGAACACTCACACAGAATATATTTAGGTTACAATCAGGTTGAAGAACTAGAGCCAAAAACCTGTGAGAGAGATGGACTTCTTTACCATCGTTTGCCTGGTGCTCAACACTTTTTCATAAATCTGTTTATGCTTTAAAAAAAACGTCCCTCTAAATTTTCTAACATTCAGCTGAAGGAGAAACCTAGTGTGGTGATTTCTGATGGTCACGCTCATCTTCATGCCATGTTCTGAGGCTGGGTTTGAACTCCCACCTAGATATTTTCCATTCATTACAAAACTATTTTTGTGTCCGACCAAGCACAACGCTCAGAATGTCTTCCAGGAGAGACACATATCCAAGCTGCATTGTTTCCCATCGCCCTCTGGGACAGCTGGCATTTCAGCTTTGAGCAATTATAAACCTATTTGATTTCCTGAGTGCTTCATACCGCACTGTTGGGTGTGCTGAATAACAGCGACACCAAGCATGCGTGCCTCTAAGGTGAAATAAAGCAGAACATTTTCATCTCAGGGCAGCAAGTGCTGTTGTTGTATGAGAGGTCGATGGCAACGCAGATGAAGACCACAGACGTTTGAAATGCCTCTGAGGCCATCCGTCATCAGTGCTGGTGATGGAGCAAATCGTGGGTTTGTCACCTGGGAGACTACGGTTCGGTAAAAAGCTGTGGTTTTGGTTAAACATACCACAAACGTTAAAAAGTGTGTTATATGTTCCCTCGAGTATCCTTTTATCTTTTTTAAATATTCCTAATTGCTTTTTTATGCTAAGGTAAGAGAGAAACAGTATCTCCTGTATGCTTAGACTTGACAATAAAGTCTCAAATTGTTATAAATGAGTAAATGTAACAAACTGGAAACGAGTGAGAATGACTTTCTTAAATAATTGAATATGGAATATCTTTCATCATCTATACAAGCTACATAAAGAGACACAAATAGCTACAGTTTCAGTCAGATTATCGAGTTCAGACTGACTTAAAAATACACACAGGTATTACAAATACAGCAGACTTCCATGGACATACATGTCACCACGGTGATGGTCACGTGATGCAAAAAGGGAAGCCATGTTGATTCACGGAGTTCCCGATGTTCCTGTTGTTCCTTTTCATCTCCCTGAGTCCCCTCAGCTGTTTCCCTGCACTTAAATTACTGCTGTACATGAATCTTAATGAAAACATCTCTCTTTGTTCTGGCTTCCACTCCATCGATTTTCTCTGCAGAGCCACCGGAGTGCTTGACAAAATGCGATGCATTATAGATTACAGATTCCCATCTTAAATTGCAATCAGGCCCATAATTGATGAGATTGCTTCATCATAGTGACATAATAAAACAAGTCCTGCCTGGCCGGGCATGCACATTCATAACCGTGCTGTTGTCGCAGCTCAGTGTTGGTGGAGAGACAGATGCTACTGTATGGTGAGGGGGTTGTTTTAATGATAAAAAGTATGAGAGGAAGCATATGCTTGTTCATAATGTACTCTTTGTCTGTTAACACAGATGACTTCTTTGTCCCAATAATGTGAATGTGTGTGTTTCCGTCCCCACAAACTAAAGATTAATGGCTGTTTTCACTTGCTCAGAGCTGAAAATCTGCATGCCCAAGAAAAAAAACACATTTATAACGTCCTTATGACCAAACAGTGTTAAATGAAAGAGACATCAGGGGGCTGTGCTGGTGTTTGTGTGTACACTCCCCCCACAAACACAGACGCACACCGGCAGCCTCTTCTCCTCGGCCTCTTTGCCCTCTGAACCTAACAGCTAAATTTCAGCCTACCGTTACACAAACACACACACACACACACACACACACACACATGCACGCACTCGGAGCCTGCAGACTTAAATAGCCCTGAGTTGTAGGGCACTTGTAAGCTTGAGATGTTACCACCAACAGTGTGAATATCGAACTCTTAATGGCATAATCTGCACGGTGACTTTGCAAAAAAGGTGCTTGTCATCACTGGGAACAAACTGGAGTTCTTTAAAGGCAGTGTACAAACACACATGTACACATTCAGTATGCATGCACCACAATAAATAAATCAGCTGCTGGTGTTTCTTGTAGATTTCCTCCTCCTGGGAAACGGCAGGGGTTTAAATGGATGCAAGAAACTCAGAGAGGAAGGGGAAAGGAAGTGCAGATGTAGCAAAGAAGGGAGGATAGATATGTCAGAGAGACAAAACCGAGAGAGAAAGAGCATCTAATGTATCAAAGTGAATGCAGAGTAAAAGTGGAAAAAAATGTTGGGGGCAGGGAGACAAGAGAGAGAAGTATGCTTTTCATTTCCACAGCACAGCGCGAAAGAAGCAAAACTGAGCAAAGCACAGCGGGCTTTTCAACCTTTCAGCCTCTCAACAAACAGGCAGCCGGTTGAAATATTGATGCTTCAATTCCAACAAAGGAATGTCTGAATGATTTTGGTACATCTGAGTGGGGAAATTCACCTATCTATAATTGACACGGCTGAAATGTTAATAACTGGATGGGAATGCACGGGAACGGAAGCGTGCTCGTGCGTGCTCGTGCGTGCTCACAGTGGCAGCAATGCCCCAAAGGGTCTCCTCTGCTGTTTGCAGGATGCATTCACTCATGATGTGACAGTAAGTAGTTTCTTTTAAGACAAGTCAAAGCGTTGGACATTTAATACTTTCATAACTTGAAGTGAGAACTTTCTATATGACTTTGGCAAATCATTCCCTCTGTACTCAACTGTTTGCAGCCAAAGTGGAGGTAACAGTAGACTCAAACCCTGGTGGAAGCCTGTTATCCAGCCTGCCTTTATCACTGCTTGCTGTATTTTTATTTCAGACAGTCAAAATGTCCTCGTTCTGTGAGCCTCGGTGTGCAACCGAAGCCAAACAGCCAAAAAACAATGATGGACACCAAATCCTCTAATCTGTGTTAATTCTTCCAAAGTGTGAAAACCATGCTGGAACAGTAAATGTGTTGTAATTAGACCCTGATAATTAGAGACAAGGGACCCAGGGAGGTCCCAGAGTGATTATTATGGGATAGTTAAAGCCAGAGAAACAGGAGGAGAGTGGGCTGAAGTTCACCGAAAACACTCTGCAACTCTCACACAGAGAAAGGCTGGCTCACAGAAAAAGCCGTCTGCAAAACTTCTCGTCTTTCCTTAGCTGCGACTTAGCGAGCAGCTTTAAATCTCTTAATCTGCTAGTTTTTACTCCTTTTTTTGGCAAGATATATCAAGTCCTTTGTGCATTTTTCGCTTACCTGCAGTCCAGTTTCTCTATTTCAAAGTGCGGGTTAAAGTTCAGGACGATGCGCTGCGAAGACTCAGGGGCCGTGATGACCCAGCGGCAGTTCTGGTGAGGTGGATACTCCAGAGGGTAGCCGGGGGTGGTGATGTAGCCCGCATCGCTCGCATCTAAATTGCCGCCGCATGGTTCAGATGCTGGATGGAAACAGAGAGAGATAAGGAGAAATCATGTTTTACACAAGTCTGGAAAACTCAAGTGGATAATATGATTACTTATAGGCTTTGGTCACCAAAATCATCCTGCGTGTTTGAAACTTTAACACAGGTCAATACACAAGTTCACAGGTTAGATTAAGTTCACTGATTCACGTTTTCAGGGAAATTCAGGAGCAAGAGGGCAGAGGCTACGTGACCCGGAAGACTAAAGGTGAAAAAATAAAATAAAACTGAAAGACAAATAATAAAACAATGATGAGAGATAAACTTCCATATTAATTTTTATCTGTAATAACCTTCACAGCAGCAGGCGGGGCTACAGTTCTGTCTGCTCATCGATACTGACCAGGAGCACGTGTGAACTTCCAGTTATTTCAGAGCATATTTGTTCATCGTGCATGAATTCTCACAATAAATGAAGCAAAACAGATAAAATGCAGATAAGAGCAGTGTGTGCAGAGACAGGATATGAGTGTGTCTCTGTGTGTGCGGGGTTAAAGGTCAACACAGCATCGTGAAGCACAAAGACTTCATTCTGGCCTGGAAGGACTCCCATGCACGCACACAGACACACAAACACACACACACGCACACTGCCAGATGCAGCAGTTACTGTCACAGAGCGGACCCACTTGTCAGCACTCATACGTCTGTGTCACATCATAAACAATACTCCTCGTTCACTGCCGCAGATGTACCCTGACATAGATGGGTAACTCATACATATCTGTGACACCCAGCGGCACAACACACACAACTCCACTGTATGAAATCTTTGGCACTTATTGTGCACAATGCTGGCTCTCCTGTTTGATGGACTGCACGGGCTAAATATGCCGAGCTTCCTCATTGTTTAAGATCTGCAAAACACAAGTTAAACCATCGTGGCGAGTATGTGCTGAATGCGAGCTTTGTTGAGCCCGATATAATGGCGCAGTCTGAGCCAGCGACAGACAGAGAACAGTCGAGCGCCACGTTTTTTAGTCTGCTCCACAATAACATCCACCCAAGTGATGCAGGTTAGGGTTAAAGTAGATAACATGAGTAATTTGTTCTTCTGCACCGGCAGAAAAATGAATTATAGCACAGAAAATTAATAGTAAGTGCTTTTTGTTTAAAAAAAAGAGACTATTATTTCAAATATCCAGGGAAGAATTTCAGCCCCCAAAAATGTGATCAATCAGAGCATCTCCAACAAAGCAGATGGATTTTCTGCAAATATTTTGGAGGAAGAAAAGATGGCTACAATAGGCCAGGTTATTCTAGTGAAAACAGCATCTGTGAGCGCCGGCTGCTTGATGGGAAATATTTGGCCGGTGAGCAGCCCCTAAAAATAATTTCCTGTTTTCAAAAGAAGGAAAAACAAACTCACAATCAAGCTCTTGATAGTCAGTAGTTTATTGGTCTCTCAGCCGTGACTAAATATGCATCAAGAAACTCGCCTCAAAAGAAAAAAACAGAGGAAGAGCAGCAGGAGGAGGTTAGGTGAGCTGTCTTTGCTACTATCTCACCCGCTGGGCCGTGACGTTTTATTTATCGCCACTGTGCTGAGAGGGATGACATAGCCAAGTCAAACTGCTCGGCAGAATGCAGCATGTTTTAAAGCCGTAGCTATTAATAGTGTGGCTACTGTAAACTTACTCTGAGTGGAGTCAACATATGCAAACATTAATACACGCACGCATAAACACTTTATCGGGCACCATCTTCGAAACTAATTAAAAGAAAAGGTTAAACAAAAAAGCACGTCGAAAATATCACTTTGTGGCCACGCTCACGTGGCTGACTGCGTATCAGACGTTTAGAGTCAGTAAGGGAGGATTAAAGAGCCGGTAAGACATCAGCGCTCAGCGCACACCGTGAGTGACACTTTGGCATCTGTATCTGGTGTCTACCTCACTCCGTCTGCAAACAATTAGTGATAACCGCTCCGTATCTCAGCGTTTCTGCCTGCCTCTCTTTGGTCTCTCGCGCTGTGAACCAACGAGTCCTGTTTATGTCCTCCTGACATACAGTGGTACAGGAGTAGGGTTACGTGGGCGATGTAACCAAGCCAGATGGATTTCATCTCAGCACCACCTGGATTAGTGTTTAACCACTCTGGAATCTCACAACGACATCAGCCAAACACTACTTTTAGCACACGCTGCTTTGCTAAACGTAGCTAATGAAAACTCTTGGAGAGGTGATGCAAGGGGTGTAGAATCAATGACTGCGGATTCAAATTTGACTGATAAATGAACTCCTGCTTGGATGTTATCTAAAGGATAAGGAAATCGACTCTGGCACATCCAGAGGTTTGTTTGTTTTTTACATTTCGTTTTTAATAGCTGACCAAATTGTTCTTTCCATAGACGTTGACTCAGCTACACATGAATCATTTGTGGTTAAAGTTGGCTGGACGCTTTAAACAAATACCTGTGCAACTATACACTTCAGCATTTACCTCAGGAGCTGCTCTCCGTGATTTTAATGGTATCCTTTAGGACCACTTTGATTAAAATAAGGTTATTCCTATTTGAAATCTATATTTGGCAGCATAGTTTTCTGTTTTCCACATGTGGGAAGCTTAAGGTGGGGGGGGCTAAACTCCTGGTACAGAGCAGGCATAAAAATGGCATGAAAAGGAGAAACTGGAGTAGAGGTGGGTTGCAAAGTGGCTTGCAGAGGTACCAGCAGTTGTAGCATAACATTCTCTATATGAGGTTTTCCAATAGGATGTGCATAAAGGTATCAGCTGATTTTGAGCTGTCAGCTGATACAGGCTAGCTCTGGTATCAGGTGTTAGCTGCTAAAGCTAAATGCTAAATATATATATATATGTTCTGGCTGAGTCTCACTACCTCTCCTCTCCCTGTTTCACCTCTGGCATACGGCCGATAAAGACAGCTCCTCCAAGTGTCTGATGAATATGGCCGGTGGGATATTTAGGCAGGTGCCGTGTGTGCATGAAGTATAGTGTCTGCTTTACTTTAAGGGTCTATTAATCTCCGGACGTGCACACATACACAAAGTCAATCAACAAACATTGCATCCAAACAGAGCAGAGAGTGACACAAATTGAGGCGATGAGGGCACGGATGACATCAGATTCTTTAGAATGAAGTGCCATTCATGTTGAATTTCATATTGCACAAGAAACATGTAAATATACAGCCGGTGAAACGTCAGGCCCCTGCAGCGACAGGCCAGCGTGCAAAGGGAGGGACACGGCTCCGGGTTTATGTCTGTAAAACAGGGAGGTGTATAAATACAGCTTCCAAAAGCAAACCTGTTATAATCCTAATTTGTATTCCCCACCCAGACGTGCACGCTGTGAAAAAAAGTGCAATGTGTGTCAGAACAGAGAAGATGCTGAGTGGGGGAAATGCCTGACTTCACGTCAAGAATTACCAAATAGGTTAAAGACAGAATCATCCTTTAATCGTCACAGAGCAGCTTCTGCGAGCAGCTGCAAAGGTGACGGTCCATCCTGGTGAAGTGGGGCTGGGCAAACAGGATGAATGCAACAGCTGCCGGCGACAGGAGACGGGGATTATTTTGGTTTTATTCTGCTGTTTTACGGAGCTGCCTCTCTGAAGGCTTGGTGAATAATTACTTTGTAACTGGCGATTACAAGTAAACGATGGAAAGCAGCAGCTTAATTTGGTGCTGCAATGCTTGCTTTACTCATTTTTCTTTTATTACGCTAACACAGAGAATAGACTTTATAACAGCAGAGGTTCTCTTCATAGGTTTAAGCTTATTTTCCACTAGATTTGATTCAACTGTAATGGTTGGTTTCCATTACAGTTGAGGGGCACTTATTGAAAGTCCAGTGATGCCATTTCTATGCGACACAACACAAGATTGGAGGACGTCGAGGCGACGGTGCGCCTGCTGCTCGGCCTGCAGCTCGGCCTGCAGCTTTCTGTCGGACTCCAGGTTTGGGTGTGGCCATGTGCATCGTTGCCGTTTGATTCCTGTGAAGAAGTGCTACCACCTAATGGAAAACTAGGGGAAAAGCTAGCTAGTGGAAAAGAGGCTACAGTGACTGTAGTACCGTGGAAACCTGAATCAGGGTTAAGTCCTGTCTGACTTTGTTTTTTATCATTTGGTCTAATCCTACAGCGTAGCATCAAATAGGCTCTGGCCGATACAGCGCCGAGCGGGTACTTTCACAAGGCGCCATATCAAAACATCGGCGTATTCTTTGGCGCAGTGTGTCCTTGCCTTATCCAAACACTTTCCTCCTCTTGACCCTCGTTTTCACACGGTAAAGCTTTTCTCTCAACCACATCAGCATGTGTGATCTTCAGGGAGAGGCTGTATTTGCACCACACATTCACAACAAATGCAACCACTGAACATCCCCATTCTGAATACAGACCACACACACACACACACACACACACACGATAAGCAGCAGTAAATGGTGCTAAGACAGGTCATTGCATTATTTATGGCTCTCTGCCACGTTTAGTATTGCATCCTTGATAACACCTATTCAGCAACTTTTCCCCACATTCCCACCTCAGCACACACATACACTCAGATGTACCCACAGAGGAATCTATGACAGTTCCCACAGACCTGAACTCGTGCACACTCTTCTACATGAAGCTGGTTCGCACAGTTGAACCAGATCCTTGTTTGTTGGCCCCAAATGCAAATTTTCTGACCTTGTTTTTAAGCTCTCTTACAGATTCGTTTCCCCTCTGAGGGAGTCTGATTTGACTCTAAACAGACACTTTTCAGCTCGCAGCAATCGATTTGCTTGTCTGCGAGAACTTTGCCAATCTGTCAGAGTCCACATTTCTTCTCGCTGGTCCGACCCCGTCATGAAAGCATTAGTGGTTTAGTGAGTGTTTGTTATGAAAGCAAGGAAATGAGTCAGCTAACCAGAAAGCTTGTTAAGAAACTATCAACCTGTTATCCACCAACAGCAGCGTGAGACTTGCAACCTCGTTACGGTGACCTTTAAAGAGTCGGGTCCTTAA